TTGTATGGGAGTCGTTATGTGAGTGTGTGTGTGTGTGTGTCTCTCCCTCACTCTCTCTCTCCCTCGTAGTCTCTCCGTGTGCGTGTGTGTGTGCGAGCTTGTGTATGTTTATGTTTATGTCAGTTTATTGTGGCACTTTGGATGCCTTTTGCCAGTTTATTTTTCGTGCCGGGGCAATCTAACTAATTTAATATGCATAAATGCTAGCACATGTTTCATAAATGGCATTTTAAAGCCGCACGAAATGGGTTTATTATGTAGGCAGCCCGCTTACCACACTTCCCATACAATATGAATTTCTATTAATGCTTTTTCTGCTGCCTTTGTCAGGCTCAACAGCTAGCTCTCAGCTCAGTGACTGTCTGTGTGTGTGTGAGTGTCTGACTGTTGTAATACAACATATAATTTCCGCACATGCACAAATGTTTACGTGCAGTAGCAGCTGGCAGTCACACAGTCACACACACACAGCAGGCCAAAATATTTGCATGCAATAGCAAGGGGGGAGCCAGCAAAAAAACTGTTGCATACTTTTGCGGGCAGTCGAAAATCTCGCATAGCTTCACACAATGAACTCGCATTTAATGTCATAATTAAACAAAGCTCCGCGCCATGGCAATTGTCAAAGTGCTGTAGATAAGCCAAAGCAGTGACTCCGTAACATCCCCTCGCTCAGCCCCTTCCGCTCTGGCCTTTCTCGTGATGTTGGTTGGGCAAAATGAGCGACAGTTAGACGCGCYACAGCCAACAGCTGTTTAAACTCTTTAGCGCATAATGTGCTCAGTACCCACAGCCAATGCCACGGCCAAGCGACCCCCGACAGCCCGCCCCGCTGGGCTGGGGCTTATGATGCCAACTTAACTGGAAACAATGACTGGCCCCATCCGCCTCAGTTGCTCCAGTTGCCTCAATGTCTGCTTGTTAAGCTTGCGGCTGGCATTTTATCTGCCTGGTGTCTTTGTCTTTGCCGTCATTGTCATTGTCACAATAGCCAAAAATTTGTGCTCACATACACACACACACACACAAAAATATATCCACACTCACGCACACACACATTGTTTGATTACAAATTTTTGCGTTTTGTCAAATTGATTTGTCCACAGGCAGCACGTAGATATCTCTGTCCCCTACTCCGCTCCGCTCCTCTCTGCCCCTCGCCAGACTCTGTGCTACCAATTTACATTTTGACGCGCTTGACGCTTTGAATTGCGCGGCACGTTTGCTGCCTATTTGAATTACGAGTTTGTCAATAGAATCCCACGCGCTGCGCCCGCTCCCTCTCCTAGGCCATCTCAAATAAATGTCAATAAACATGACAGCCACTTGTGACAGCAGCAAATGCTGAAAAGCACCCACTCGCTCGAGTGTTGAGTGCTATTTTGAGCTGCTTCAAGATATGTCGACATATTACGTTATGGGGGCTCGAAAAATATTTTTATTTTTGCACATAGAATAATATTTTAAATTAACATACAAATATACATACACAGACTATAAAAAGAGGTTGACAAATATTGCAGTGAGATAGACTTTTGAAATAAATGAATAAATAACTATTTCCCAGTCATATTTAAGTAATATGGATAAAAATTGGAAAACAATTTAATGGGAAAAAAACAAAATTATATTTGGCCAAATTGTAGAGAATGTCAATAAGGAAAAATACTCTTGAAAAATATATTAAAGATGTGACATTTAAAAACTTTACTTTAACTTTTTCTTTCAATATAATACACAAAATATTTTGAAACTACATCTGCTATATCTTTATTTATTACATTTATTTAATACATAATATATATCTCTTATATAATATTAATTTTATATACACATATCTGACGTACATGTGTTACGATCTAAGTGCATTTTAATTACTTTCGCTTTTCAATAATAATTCACTACAACTTTTAAATTCTGCGATTCAATGAATGTGTGATTTCCTGTTAAGAACGCGAATCGTACGGGTTTTGGGTAGCTCATACTCAGGCACTCCCCACTGGAGCTGCCCTACGCGTTTCAGTTTCTGTTTTCCTTAAAGCCTTAAACATGTTTCCGAGAATGTCCTTCACGCACAGTTACGTCTATCACAGCTGCATAAATGAACTTAACATGGCTAAATCGCCCCTTAGCCGGCACTAACAATTTATGGCAATGGCTGCATTCGCTGAACAGTTGGCAGCACACTTGCGGCACTTGGGCCGGGATGTTTTTAAACAGCATGGCTGCCATTCCCGGGGCCATGCAGCGGCAATAAAAGAAATTATAAAATAATATTAACAATCCAGCAACAACTATGGCCGAGCTGGCATTTAGCGCCGCACCACGAACCAGACTCAACAAAGTGTATAAAGTGTAGCCATCTAAAAAAAAGGAGAAAATAAATGAAAAACCAAAATATAAAAGCAGAAGAAAGTGCCATTTTACGTTAACGGTTATGTGGGTGCAGTCCGCTGCGACCTGCGACCTGCGACCTGCGACCTGCTGCGGTATGTGGCAACTGTAGGCGGGCTTAAAGGCTAAAGCGGCAAGCTGCAAGTTGCAAGTTGCAAGTTGCAAGCTGCAAACTGCAAATAGCAACAAACGGCGGCAGGTAATAAAGGCAAAGGCCAGGACTGCATTTAAGCAGCAGCAGCAATTTAGACCCCCGACTAATTGTACGACTCTCTCTGACTCTCTCTCTCACTCCCTCTATCTCTCTCTTTCTCTGTCTCAATTCTGGCCATAGCTTAATTTTGTTTTTTTTTTTTTAGATTGTCACTCGTGCGAGCCTAATTTGAGTGAGCGGAACGGTGGAACAAACTTTTAGCGCAGCTACTGAAATGTATGATCTGACGAAAGTAGGCGTGGCTCATAAAATAAAGAGCTGCTCATTGTTCAAAGCAAACATTGTTCAAAGGAATCAGGAACTCAATCCTCAATCTGCACCCTGTTGCACACGTTGCACGAGGTGCTTAGTCAGCTCAGTTAGGGCATATGACTCTAGCTTTAACTTTTAGAAATAGTGTTCTTAGGTTTTAGTTGATATAGTTTGAAATAAAGTTTTGTCACAGTATTGCTTAATTTGTATATGTAAGCCCTGAATCCATTGCAGATGACAAATGTTTCTTTTAAATGTATATAACAAGCAGTAGGAGGCGAGGCAGATCCTATAACGTTTACATATTCTTCATCGGAAGGACGAGCTTAGTCGGTGTAGACCTTTCCGTCTGTGTGAACATGTCGACTCAGTAGCTATAAGAGCTTGAGAGCATTATAGCATATTCACGAATCGCGTTCTGTATTGAAATATGTTTTTATTGTCTTCGAATTGTATCTGTAGTTTTAGCCACTGCTTCACTTTTGTGTTTTGAACGTGGCACCCTTGCAACGAAGTTTTTTCGTTCCTGCCGTTGCCTCAGCCTGAGCACATCAAGTTGAAATTACCCGCGTGATTCCTTCAACTTGTTATTTTGTGTGAATTTATACAAGGGATTTTTTTGCTATTTATTTATTTATTATTATA